ACCAAACAAATCAACGGATATCACTTCGAATCTTTGCGACACCACAGGAGTTCTTAATAAACCAGCGGGCTTCAAGTTACTTGGTTTATATCGCTGACAGGCCAGGCAGCTCGAAATGTAATCACTTATCTGTCTTCTCATGCCAGGCCAATAGTACCGGGACGCTATTTTCTGGAACGTTTTGTCTACACCATAATGACCAGCAGTTGGTGCGTCGTGATTTTCGTATAGGATAAGCTTTCTCTCGCTCGCTGGCACCACCAGTTGCGGTTCATCGGTATCGGATTCAGGTACGAACCTATATAACACTCCGTCCACCATCGTATAACCTCGACTAGTCCAATTTGGCAAATCAGGACTGACCTTTTCAAATGCATTGATGATCTTAAGCACATCAGGATCATCAACTTGTTTTCTGCGTATTTCGGATGCCTTCTCTCTCGGTAGTTCAACTTCTACGTAACAAAGACACACATCGTTGGTGTCGGTTTCACAGGGGGGTCTCGATAATGTGTCAGCTACGGCGTTAGACTTTCCGGGTATGTATACAATTCTTATGTCATATGATTGCAATACCAACGCCCATCTTGCCAATCTTCCACTGGGTGATTTCAACGACATTAACCAACGTAGAGGCTGATGATCTGTCGCTACCACAACCTTCGAACCCTCTATGTATCCTCTAAATTTAGTCACAGCCCATACTAAAGCCAGAGCTTCACGCTCCGTTGTAGAATAATTCTTCTCTGACGTCGTTAATAAACGGCTGGCGTACTCCACTGGTCTTTCGTCTTCTGCTTCACCTTGCAATAATACTGCTCCGAGGGCGTATGCGCTGGCGTCGGTGCGTATGATGAAATAATCACTTTCATCTGCCTGTCTTAAGATTGGTGCTGACGTTAATAATGTTTTTAGCTCTTGGAAAGCTTTTCGTTGAGCGTCACCCCATTCCCATCTAGTGTTTTTCTTCGTAAGATCAGTTAATGGTTTAGCAGTTGCGGAAAAATTTTTGATGAACCTTCTGTACCAGGAACAAGTTTGAAGGAAGGTTCTCAAATGTTTCAGGTTAGTCGGCGGGGGCATATCTGTAATCGCGGATACCTTCTCTGGATCCGTCTTGATGCCACTGCTCGTCAGTATATGTCCAAGGAATTTAACTTCTTCACATGCCAATACACACTTTTTCCGATTCGCGTACAGTGAAAACTTCCGTAGCCTCTCGAAAACGACTCGTAAATGGTTTAAGTGTTCTTTGAAACTTTTCGAAACCACTATAATGTCATCAAGGTAGCACAACACGGTGATGTTCTTTAGGCCCGCACGAAAACGATCTATCAATCTCTGGAATGTCGCGCCGGCATTCTTCAGACCGAACGGCATTCTGTTAAACCGATAAGTTCCGAAAGGTGTCACAAACGCGGTTTTGTCACGATCTTGTTCTCGCACACGCACTTGCCAGTAACCAGACCTTAGATCTAGTGTCGTCATGTATAATGTTTCACGTGCTAAATGTAAGAGGTCCTCGATTCGCGGCAACGGGTAACTATCACTGATTGTCACTGAGTTTAGTTTTCGATAATCTATACACACTCTACGGGAACCGTCCTTTTTTGGCACAAGTACCACCGGTGCAGCCCACGGTGATTCACATTCTTCGATAATATGATCGGATAACATCTTTTCCAACTCATGGCGCAGAATTTCTTTGTTCTGTGGGGACATTCGGTATGGTGGAACGGCGGTCGGTGCACAGTCACTCGTTTCGATACGGTGTTCTGCGAAAGGAGTTGGTTCTCCCCCTTGTCCAAAGATGTCTTCGAATTCCAACAAAAGTTGACTCAGACATTCTCGTTCTTCTTCCGTAAGTCTCGTTGCTTCATCCTGTCGAAGCCCACAAGGAACAGCTTCTGCTTCAGTTCGATCGATAGCTTCAATTGCAATGTTTGCAGTAGTTGTGGTTTTCTCATTGTCTTTATTGAGTTTCAAGAAAAACTGGTATTTTACTTCCGGTACATCGCGGAACCACCACTCGCCATGTGGTATGTCCAACACAATCCCTGCCAAGGAAAGGAAATCCGCTCCTAAAAGCGTTCTATTTGCTTTGGCATTTGGCAACACGATAAATCTTTGTCGTACCGTACGACTTTCAATGTTAACCTCGACTTCGGTTTCCAATACTTCTTCAGTCTTAGCTTTTCCGTCGGCCAGAGTGAAACTGATTTTCTTAGGGGTGAATTTATAATTCGCTTCCTTCAACACTTCATAGAATTTCCAACCAGCCACACTGATTTGTGCTCCAGTATCTACAAAACCTACTCCCTTCTGGTTGCCTACTGTAATTAGCAGTAACGGTCTGCGATCGTCGTCCTCATTCGCCGAAATTTGATAAAAGGACAAATTTCCTAATGACGCAACGTTGACGTTCTTGTTAGCATTTTCTTTGCAGATGGGACATTTTGCGCGGATAACGCCTTCTTTACCGCATCCGTAACAGCGAAGGACGTTCCTTTCGACGGAGTCACTTGGTTTTGGATTAGCTTGGCTTTTATCACTTTCTTTGTTCTTGTTGGCCAAATCACGACACTCATCTTTAAGGTGTCCGAACCGTTTGCAATACGAGCAGCGTGGTCTGTTTCTATTCGGTTTCTGTTCAGTCACGGCACTTCCTGGTTTCTGCGCACTGCTTGTGCTACTTACGTCGTCGCGGTATTCGAGGATAAGTGTCTCGGCGTCGCGGGCTTTTTGGATAAGTTCGTCGAATGTATTTACGCACTCGCGAGAAACATGTTTACGAATCTTTTTGTTTAATAACCCGTAAACCATGTCTAACATCATTTCTTCCGGTATTTTGTACGGCATTTTTGCGATAATAGATCTAGCGCGGCACAAAAAAACATCGCACTTGACATCACCCTGTTCGTTATTAAACAAATCCCGAAAAAGTTTGTACGCGGGCTTTGTGATTCCGTACATCGCGCGCAGTTGTTTAATCGCGTCATTCCAATTCGTCACAGAGCTTTTTACACCTTGCCACCATATCGCGGCTTCTCCCGTCAATAAAAGAGGCAATCCGCGTAAAGCGTGATCATCAGAAACGTCTGTGCACTCTTTATATATCTGTACGGCGTCCACGAATGCTTCAACTGCATCATTGTTCTGATTACTGCCATCAAAACGCGCGGAACATCTCGCGAAACTACCCGACGGTGAAGGACTAGGCGCGGCGGGCGAAACTGTACGCGGCGTAAATTGTTCCAGCAATTGACGGTTAAATTCGAGTTGCGAACGTTGTACTGCTTCCAGCAACGCTGCGAATTCATTGGTAGACATCGTAGCAGTTGTCTTTGATTCTTCCACGTCGGAATCCGGGTTGGCGTCAGTTCTTTTCTTTGGAGGCATCACAAAACTCAAACTTTCACGTGAAATTCGGGCCGCTAGTTGGGCGCCACTTATTACATTACTTGTTTAAAAAAAAAAGAATGAAATAAGGTCTTTATTAATAAACAAATAGCTACAAAAGCAATAATTTTGTATAACTGTTTCTTTACGCGGGTTCATCCGAATTATCTCACACGAAACGAGTTCGTCAAAGATTAAGTATAAACTAAACTCAATTTCCCTCTCGCAACCGTCCTATAGCGTTTTAGAGTAGAACCGGGCTTTGGCGACGCTAAGTCGTAGAGACAGATGTTGCATTACTTGCGTAAAACCGATCGATAAATCTAAAGCCTCTTCCCTCTTTGTTCTTCTCTTGCTACAATATGAATTAATGAATATTGTTGTTTTACGTGCTCTTAATGGTGACATTTAGGAATCGGAGCATGTTATCAAAAAACTTTTATAGCAAAAGTTATAGCAAATTTTATTGTTAACAATATTGTTCTCTTTCACTTTTACTCTCAGATGCATAGAAATCGAGAAAAATTCGATAAGTCACCTTTCGAAGAAATCGAGGTTTTGCATCTTCTTGGTAGAGGATGAATGAGAAATTCGGAACGTTTTAGAACAAAAGTTTTAGTATAAAAGTTGTAGCAAATTTTATTCTTAACAACATTGCTCTCTTGTATTTTTGCTCTCAGATACGTCAATATCAAAAAAAATACAAAAATATGAAAATTTGTTTTACTAGTCTTAATGGTAACATTTAGGAATCGGAGCATGATACAAAAAAACTTTTAGAACAAAAGTTGTTACAAATTTTATTGTTAACAATATTGTCCTCTTGCACTTTTACTCTTAGATACGTCAATATCGAGATAGATACGAAAATATGAAAATTTGTTACACTTTCAAGTTATAGGTAACACTTGAGAATCGGAGCTTGCTATGAAAAAACTTTTATAACAAACATTGTTGTAAATTTTATTCTTAACAATATTGCTCTCTGGCATTTTTGCTCTTAAATACGTCAAAATCGAGATAGATACGAAAATATGAAATTTTGTTACTCTTTCAACTTATAGGTAACACTTGAAAATCGTGAAATTGTAGCAAATTTTATTCTTAACAATATTGCTCTCTTACACTTTTCCTCTCAGATGCGTCAATATCGAGAAAAATACGAAAATATTAAAATTTTTACAACTTTTTGGTAATCGTGTAATTTTTTTTGCCACTGCCAAATTAGAATTGTGTGTGCTCATCGGGTTCCCTAGGCCACCTTGAACATCTTAGGAACAAAAAAAATCGAAAAAATTAAAAATCGCGAATTTATGCCTTAAGGAAGTAAGTACTTAGTCATTGCCAAAATTGAAATGTGTGTATTAATCGTGTTCCCGAAGATGTTTTACATAGTTTAGATGCAAAAAATTTTCAAAAATTAAAATTTCACATTTATAGCTACTTTTTGGTAATCGTGTAATTTTTTTTGCTACTGCCAAATTTGAATTATTGAATGTGCTCATCGTGTTCCTTAGGTCATGTTGAACATTTTAGGAACAAAAAAATTAAAAGTTTATTAATAAGTTTTATGAGTTAACCCGCTCGAACGTTAATTAATTGATTAATTAATTAATTTAAAAAAAAAGAATCCTCACCCTCCAAGTCCTCCAAGCCGCCGCAATCACCCTTTGACTCCTCCTCATTTTTTGAAACTTCCTCCTCTGTCGATACCCTCGATAGCATTTCTGGATGAGAGCTGCCAAATAATGCAGTCTTTCTCGCCGGAACTCTTCTAGTTCAAAAACCGTGCGGGGGCTGCGCACAAAAACCTTCGTTCGTCCGAAAATGAATTCAGCCCCTGGAAGTGGAAGGCTTTTTAAGATTGTTGAAACTCCCTCGATGGATGGGCCGTAAAATTTGGGCCAAGTCGATGAGTTCAACATCTTGTATCTGTGTAAGAAATGGGAGTAAAGTAGGCGGTAGCAATATCCGGTTCGCCAAAGCTCCACGGTTGGGAGTAAACATAAATATCTGACCTAAAACGAAATTTAATTTAATTAATTAATAACAAAAAAAATTAAATTAATCAAATTTTATCAAAAAATTATTATTACCTGGTGTTGTACTAAAGATATCTCAAAAATTTTAGCTTGCTTAACTTCATTTGGTTTAATACATCGTATATAATGACTATGCCGTGGTAATAAACTCTTTAATAACGAATTTAGCGTTATTTTTAGGTGATTCGTGGCGGATAGAGTTCGCTTTAAAGTACACCGTTTCGGATTTCCCTCCGGAAATAGTTCCTGCACCAACGAGTTATTACACCTGTACATGGCGCGATAAAGCTCTTTTGAGAGATCGTTGCGATTTCGCTCGATGAAGTTCCGAATTGTGTAGGTAACTGGACCGGCGAAGTGTTTAATTCTGGAAATAAACGGAAAAAATGTAACTTAAAAATTCGTGGAAGCCGAGTTANAATATCGAGAAAAATACGAAAATATTAAAATTTTTACAACTTTTTGGTAATCGTGTAATTTTTTTTGCCACTGCCAAATTAGAATTGTGTGTGCTCATCGGGTTCCCTAGGCCACCTTGAACATCTTAGGAACAAAAAAAAAACGGTAAAATTAAAAATCGCGAATTTATGACTTGAGGAAGTAAGTACTTTGTTGCTACCAAAATTGAAATGTGTATATTAGTCGTGTTCCTGAGGATGTTTTATATAGTTTAAAGCAAAAAATTTTTAAAAATTAAATTTTCACATTTAGGGCTACTTTTTGCAATCGTGTAATTTTTTTTGTTACTGCCAAATTAGAATTGAGTGTGCTCATCGTGTTCCTTGGGTAATGTTGAACATTTTAGGAACAAAAAAATTAAAAGTTTATTAATAAGTTTTATGAGTTAACCCGCTCGAAGGTTAATTAATTGATTAATTAATTTAAAAAAAAGAATCCTTACCCTCCAAGTCCTCCAAGCCGCCGCAATCACCCTTTGACTCCTCCTCATTTTTTGAAACTTCCTCCTCTGTCGATACCCTCGATAGCATTTCTGGATGAGAGCTGCCAAATAATGCAGTCTTTCTCGCCGGAACTCTTCTAGTTCAAAAACCGTGCGGGGGCTGCGCACAAAAACCTTCGTTCGTCCGAAAATGAATTCAGCCCCTGGAAGTGGAAGGCTTTTTAAGATTGTTGAAACTCCCTCGATGGATGGGCCGTAAAATTTGGGCCAAGTCGATGAGTTCAACATCTTGTATCTGTGTAAGAAATGGGAGTAAAGTAGGCGGTAGCAATATCCGGTTCGCCAAAGCTCCACGGTTGGGAGTAAACATAAATATCTGACCTAAAACGAAATTTAATTTAATTAATTAATAACAAAAAAAATTAAATTAATCAAATTTTATCAAAAAATTATTATTACCTGGTGTTGTACTAAAGATATCTCAAAAATTTTAGCTTGCTTAACTTCATTTGGTTTAATACATCGTATATAATGACTATGCCGTGGTAATAAACTCTTTAATAACGAATTTAGCGTTATTTTTAGGTGATTCGTAGCGGATAGAGTTCGCTTTAAAGTACACCGTTTCGGATTTCCCTCCGGAAATAGTTCCTGCACCAACGAGTTATTACACCTGTACATGGCGCGATAAAGCTCTTTTGAGAGATCGTTGCGATTTCGCTCGATGAAGTTCCGAATTGTGTAGGTAACTGGACCGGCGAAGTGCTTAATTCTGGAAATAAATAAAAAAAAATGTAATTTAAAAATTCGTGGAAGCAGAGTTATATATAAAATTTTTTTTGATCAAATCAAAAATTTTTATTAACAAAATTTGTTTAAAATTACTCCAGGAACAGAGTTTGTTAATAAAATTTTTTGCTAACTTGATATTTTAATTTCCCTCTGAATAGTATAAAAATTATTTTTTTGAGGAAATATCCTTATTATTGATTTAATCAAAAAATGTTGTTAACAAAATTTGTTTAGAATCACTCCAGGAACAGAGTTTGTTAATAAAATTTTTTGCTAACTTGAAATTTTAATTTCCCTCTGAATAGTACAAAAATTATTTTTTTGAGGTAATATCCTTATTGTTGATTTAATCAAAAATTTTTATTAACAAAATTTGTTTAGAATTCCCATAGGAACAGAGTTTGTTAATAAAATTTTTTGCTAACTTGAAATTTTAATTTCCCTCTGAATAGTATAAAAATTAATATTTTTGAGGTAATATCCTTCTTATTGATTTAATCAAAAAATGTTGTTAACAAAATTTGTTTAGAATTACTTCAGCAACAGCGTTTGTTAATAAAATTTTTTGTTAACTTGATATTTTAATTTCCCTGTGAATAATATAAAAATTAATATTTTTGAGGTCATATCCTTATTTTTGATTTAATCAAAAAATGTTGTTAACAAAATCTGTTTAGAATTACTTCAGGAACAGTGTTTGTTAATA